GAGAGGCGGCCGCGACTCCCGGATGGAGAGAAGCTGCCAGTGCTGGAGAGGGTGGACCAGGGTGGGGGTCCAAGAAGAGATCCCCAGTGAGCCCAAGCCGGGAGACAGGGTCTCAGGCATAGGCCATCTCCTGCCAAGCCTCTGGAAACAGGGATCCTGGGCTCAAGACACCCTCCCTCCCCATCAAAGACGGGTACAGAGATTCTAGGTGCAACTAGGTTTTGGGTATGGGGTGCGGGACACAGCCCCCTTATGAAGTCAAGGCCTGCAGGAGGCAGTTCCAGACACAATCCCCCTCCCTCCTTACTGGGGAGAGGGAAATCTGTGAGCAGAACAACCCCCTGGGCAGGGTTTTGAGAATGGGGTCCCTCTGTGTAGCTCAGCTTCCCCACCAAGCCTAGGCCTGGAGGGACTCCAAGCACTGCCTGCCCCTAGGCCTCAGAGGCGTCATGGGCACAGCCTTCTTCCAGTCCCTGGGCGGTGTCCCAGGCACATCCCAGGCACATCCCCTTCTCCAAACAAGGTCCCAGTTTCTGGGACCCCACCCCGTCCCAGCCTGAATAAAATGAGGAAAATTTTAGGAGCCCTCCTCCCTGCTTGGTCAAGGGTCTCAGGGCACAGGTCTTCCAGGCCACCCCTTTTGTCCCTAGGATTGCCCAGCTGTCAGAGCGGCCCTACCGTAGACAATGCACAGCCTTCCCTACCGGACCTGGCCCCCCAGGCTCCAGGATTCAGGCTGGGCTGGGGACAGCTCCCCAGGGACCCGGTGCAACCCTGTCTGTCTGCAGCATCTGCGGTGGTGACAGGCGGCTTTGTGTGTGGTACCTAGAGGGAAGGGTGGGAGCAACAGAGAGGGAGGTGGCTAGGAGTGTGACCCCATGTTTGTGTGACTGTGGCTGTGTGTGTGTGTCCGTGCTGCAGCTGGTAACTATGAGGAATCCTGTGTTGTTTGTTTGTGTGCTGTGGTTGTATGTGGCGGTGTCTGTGTGTAAGCCCAGTGTTTGTGCAACTGTGTGCGTGTGGATGATGACTGCTCTGTGCCAACAGACCTCCACGTTGTTATCTGTATTTGGGTGGGTGCTTGGTTGTGACTGTGGGACTGTGTCTATGGTTATGTCTTTTGTGACCCTGTGTTTATGTGCCTTGGTGTGTGACGGTGCATGTGCTGAGGCTGGGGGTGGGCATATATGAGACTGACTAAAGGTGTGGGTGGAGTTGTGACTGTAAGTGGAGTTGTGTCTATGGCTCCATGTCCGTGTGTGACGCTCCTAGTGGCTGAGAATGTTGTGGTTGTGTCTAAGCTGATTTTATATATGTGTGCGACAGTACTGTGCAACGCCAGGTATGTGACTGTCACCGTGTCCAAAGTCACATTGTGCCTGTGTGGCTGGAATTGTGTGACAGCGCTGTGTGTGGTGGTGGCTGTATATTCTGAGCTGCGCGTGGGACTGGGGCTGTATAAATGATGTCTAGCTGGGAGTGTGACTGTGAGTGACTATATGTACAGCCTTGTATGTATGACTTGGGTCATGCATTTGTGTTTTTAGGGGGGTATGCATTTGACTTGGTGTCTGCGCGTTGCTATTTTGAAAGATTTTTGTGTGTGATTCAAGCTATAGATGTGTCTGTGTACCCGTGTGTGTGTGTGTGTGTGTGTGTAAGAGAGAGAGAGAGAAAGAGAGAGAGAGAGAGACACTGTGGCTATTTTCCTGTGCAGCATGTGTGACCCACGTTATCTGTGATCCTGGGTAACTGTGTATGTCTGTGTACTGTGTGTGTGTGTGTGTGTGTGTGTGCACGCGCACGCGAGCTAGACTACTTGTGTAGAGTCTGTGTGAACTGACGATGAGCTAGCTGGGCCCTGACTGCACATGGCTCTGTCAGGGACCACATCTTCTGTATCAAATAGCAGTAAATGCCATGTCTAGGTTACTGCATTTCTGTGCATATACCTGACTATGTACTTGTAATGTGGGAAATGGGAACTGTGCCTACATCTCAGTGTGTGAGATATTATGTGTACAAATGGGCTGTGACTTTCCACATAGGGCCACACACACTTGTCGATGTGACCAGTGGGTCTGAAGGAAGACAATGTTTTTGTGACGGTGTGACACAGTACAGCTGTGTATGGGACACTGACTGTGACAGATGGCTGGGTAACATGGACACTGATGCTGTGTGTCTGTGCATACACAACCATCTCTGGGATGTCCGTGGCTGTGTCTGAGGCTGCTTGACTCTGGGTGGGTGTATGCTGGGCCTTGCATGTGTATGCCTGTCTTTGTGTTGTCACGTGGGCCAAGGCCATCAGTATCTCTGTGTGTGGTTGTGTACAGTGTCATACAAGTACGACCATCACAGAACACTGCGTAACAGATACAGTCACCAGATGTGAGCAGCTAACACTGGCTCCTTATGTGTGATTGTGTGACTGCGTGACAGTGTGCCACCACACAAGGTGTGTTGGTGAGACAGCTGAGGTTGACTGTGGATGTGCGGCAGTGGCTGTGTGTGGCTGTGTGGGCTCTGAGAGACCAAATGTGCATCCAGATGTCAGTGTGCAGCACTGGACGTGTGTATGACAGGTATATGTAGCTGTGCCTGCGTCAGTGCATGAGTGGGTGCTTATGGGTGGCCAAACGGGGGAACTCAGACTGGTGTGACTGTTGGGGGTGGAGGGGCTGTAACGTGGGTTTATTGGGTAGGCACCTGAGGAAACAACTGTCACTGGGTGTCGTTGTACATGTGAGTCCTTGTGGGTGTGCCTGAGCCCAGCACTTTGTATGTGGCCAAGAAAATAGGAGTAACCAGTACTTGGCTGACCAGGTATTTGTGGTGGGGCCTAGGCAGGATGGGGAGTCCGTATATAGTGAACAAAAATCTGTGGTAGAGCCATGTGTGTCTGTGAACATGAACATGTGGTCAGATGTCTATAGCGGCAGCTGTCTGTGGCCGTGACTATTTCTGTGTCTCTGTGTGACCTTAAATCTGGAGCTGTTACATGTCTATGTAACTAGGTGTGCATAGCTATGACCCAGTGCTAAGGACAACTGTAGACACACAGTGGCTGCATATGTGTGATTGTATGTTTGTGTGTCATCCTGGGCATGTATCCAGAGGGCAGAGCCACTCCTCACACCATCCCTCCCCTTCCGTATTGCCGGCCTCCTGAGGCCAGCACATCTCCAACAATGCCTACCCTCCAAACACTCCTACTCTTTCCTGGGCCCTGGGAACAAGGTGGCTGGTCCCCCTGGTAACAGCTGCTATGACAACCAGGGCTCTGGGGGGGGGAGTCTGAAATGGAGGGCGTTGGCTGAAGTCCAAGGTGGGGGTGGGGTGAGGTAGGGGACTGAACTCCACCCCAGACTTCTCACCTTGTCCTCCTTCCTTTGGGCAGGGTGGACCCAGGAGGCCTGAGCGGCGTTTGCCCCCAGCCCCCTGTGGGGCCCCGGGGCCCCCTGAAACCTTCAGGACGGAGTCAGGTGAGTGAGTGGCCAGCTGGGGAAGGGATAGGGACTGGCAGTGTATGGGTGGCCTAGTGTGACCAGAACTGTCCCCAAATCACACAGGCTTAACTGCACTCGTGAGTGGATGCCCTCGAATACCTTCCATGCACACTCAGTGACCATCAGAGCCTCCTCATCCACTACACACACACCAGCCTCCTCACACTCATGCACTCAGACCCTCAGACAGCCACAGACGTACAGTTAGACACACAGGCCGTAGCCTTTCGCTTTTACACACTGGTTCATGTGTTGACAGGCACACAGAGATGTGCTAAGTACAGTGGACCCTTGACTTATGAATTCAGTCTGTTCCCTAAGGCTGGCTGGAACTCAGGTTAGTCAGCTGAAGGCTCAGACTGCTCTGTACAGCCTTTAAAATCTCTCTCCCATCTACAGACAGATCTCAGTGTCCTTTGAGAGACACTGGCCCAGAATTTCTCAACCCCACACAGGAAAGGATGTTGTAATGTTCCTTCCAGAACTCTTTAAGGGTTCAGTCTGTATCTGAGACCATCTGGAAGCACAAGTGGCAGGCATTCAGGTTGTAAGTCAAGACTGTAAGTTAAAACTAAAATTCCAGTTGTAACCCAAGTTGTTTGTAAATCAGGCCAGTCATAACTTGAGGGTCCACTGTAGTTGTTCATTCACACCAGGAGAATGCATCTGCACTCATATTCCCAGACAACACACAGACTCACACAGGCCAGATACACACTTACACACACACTCAAGAGGTGCACACAGGCAGTCTCCCAGACAACGCACACAGACCCATACTTCTACAGACAATAGCTATACTTTTGTATATAGTCTTACAAACAGTAACCATGGGCTTGGGCTCCCCCAAAATGCTGTGATTTTGCACACAGTCACAAAGAATGCTTAGTTACACCCTCACAAATAATACTCAGGAACATAGTCTCAAAAACTACAGCCTCATGTTCTTGTGTACCACTGCATACAGACACACCCTCGAAACGACACACACAACCACACTGTCCAAGGTGACAGCCACAAGCTCTGATGTGTCCTTACAATCTCACCAATGGCAGCTGCCCTCTTGGACATAGGCAAGATCTTCTGGCTGTCACCCTCACAGAGCCAGCAGTCATCAAGAACAATAAATAAGCCAGGCACGGTGTTGCACCCCTCTAATCCCAGCACTCTGGAAGGCTGAGGCAGGAGGGTAGTAAGTTTGAGCCCAGCCTGGGCAGCTGAGTGACTTAGTGAGATTCTTAAAAAAGTTGAGGGATGCTGGGCTTGGTGGCGCACACCTGTAATCCCAGCACTCAGGAGGCTGAGGCAGGAGAATCACTGTGAGTTCGAGACCAGCCTGGGCTACATAGTGAGTTCCAGGTCAGTCTCAACAGACCCTTCATAAAAAAAAAAAAAAAAAAAAAAAAAGTAGAGGGGTTGGGTGCAGTGCACAGGCCTAGGTTCAATCCCCAGTACCGCAAAAGAAAAACAAAAAAGGAACTCTAGAATCACCCTCAAGGCAGCTTCACAGGCATCAGTCTGAATCCCTGTTGCACAACCCTGCAACCCTCTGCTTTCCTGGTGTGCCCTGAATGCCGTGTCCTGAGACCCAGTGACCCCCTAATTATGGAACCTCCCTCCCGTGCTAGTGCTATCCAACCCTATACTCCCGGAGCCCCAAAGCTTCTGACCTCCAGTCCTGACCTTGACCGACACTGCCGCCCTGTGCCCCTAGACGCCGGCACCATGAACAAATTACGGCAGAGCCTGCGGCGGAGGAAACCGGCCTACGTACCTGAGGCATCACGTCCTCACCAGTGGCAGGCGGACGAGGACGCGGTGCGCAAGGGCACGTGCAGCTTCCCGGTCAGGGTAAGTGGGCGGGGCCTTGTAGAGGGCGGGGCCAGCGCTGCTGCTGTGCACCTGTGCATCTTGGAGGCGGGGCTGAGCACCCGAGGGACCCAAGCTGCAGACTAAAGACCATTCTCAGCTGCGGAGGCAAGCCGGTAGCTCGCACCTAGAATCCTGCACTCTGGGAGGCTGAGGCAGGAGGATTATAGTCAAGCCCAAACTAGGTGATTTAGTAAAACCCTGTCTCGAAATTTTTTTAAAAGGCAGAAGGGGTAATTCAGTGCAAAAGTCCTGGCTTTGATCTCCGGTACTTTGGGAAAAAAAAAAAAAAAAAAAAAAAAAAAA